TTCCTGCTTTAATTCTGGAGCGTGCGTTTTAGGGCATTCTGCCTCGAGAGTGCTTTGGCCCTGCAGGGTTTTATCTGTATTGATGTGGTACCTAATTTGAATCCCTCTGATGTTAGTGGAGAGACTTAGACTGATTTCAGCGAGCCTTTTCCAAGCAAATGTATTATTTTCTTGTTGCAGCACTTTACAGGCCCAGTGCAGCCACGGATTTAAGTTAGCCGAGCACTTCTGTTGGCTTCTCTGGCATCTTGGATCAGACTTTGTTTTACAAATTCATCCCCTGGTGTTCTCCAAGATGAAGCGTCTAGTGAGGTGTTGCTGGGACGAGGTGACAGGGAGCCTAGCATGCATTGCCAGAAAAGCAAGTTCTCTTAGTTTTAATTTTTTCCCACTTCTTCATTGACCATAGTAAAGATACAGATCCTTACTCCTTTTCTTAATTAATAGGGAAAAATCTGCTTATTGTTTTCCCACTTTACTATGGGTTTCCAGAAGTGATTAAACGGAGCTGTTCATAGAATAATGTTGATTGCGGATGACCCCAGTATACAAAAATGATCATAGAATAAGTTACTGTGAGTAACATGGGGTTAAAAACCAGAGGGATCTCTTGCTTTTCTTTGTCTGGAGCTCTCCCTAGCTTGAGCAAACTGCTGACTTTCAGGTCTTGTCAGCTGCAACTACGCTGTGGACAAGCATCTGTAGCAGGGTGTTATTGCAGTCTTCAGACCAACAGCACCGGGACTGCTTCTGAGAACAGTGCTAGCCAATCTATGCTGTAGTCCACCTACCTGGTACCCCAGTTGGCTTTCCTTCCCTTTTATGTATTGCAGTGGTACTTAACAGCTCCAGTCATGGGTCAGAAGCTGATTGTGCTGGATGCTGTTGGAGTGGAATAAAGGTCTGGCACTGAAGGCCTCTCACTGTCTAAGTGAAGTTAAAATCTGAGGCCTTTATTGGGATTCAGCTCCTACACTGTCCTCTCCAAGAGAGGTGGACAAATGCAAATGATAGCTGGTCAGAGTCTTAATGGCAGGAATGTCTCATACCAGTGCAAGCTTTGTATGCCTCTCCAATAATGCAAGACAGTCTGCCAACAGCATGAGGTGCCACGATCTCACTGTAGGTAAGGGCTTGCGCTGAGTGAGTTTCTAAGCAGTCCGATGGACCAGCATTAAAGTGAGTTTGCATTTTAGGGTTCATTTGAGTTGTATGTCACCCTTGTCAGTGCTGGGTGAGAGTATAACCCTTTTGTTGCATTATGGTGGAGTGATCTGCCTACACCAGTTCACCAGTATATAAACTGCCACGAATGGACCAGTGCTCAAAGGAGGGTTAGAAGGGAATTTTTCCCAGGTCAGGGGGGCAAGGACCTTGCCTGCCAGCGTTTCTGGCCTTTGACTCCATAAAACATGAAGGGTATTAAAGTTCCAGTGTGGAATATGACTCAGTCTTGGCAGTGCAGAGTGACCTGTATAGACTCCTGTTTCAAATGCTAGGAGTAGGTATGGGAGGCAGCATCCAGAAAGAGGGCTCCTCATTACATGCTTCTTAGGCATCAAGATCTTGTTCCAGAAACAGTTTCCTTTACATGTACCCAAAGCCCCTTATCTGTACAGATAGGACTGTGTTTTATGGTAGGATATTTTGGATTACTGTATGGAGTTTGCTGCCACCTGGTGTTATCTTTTAGAGGAGTGTGGCTAATGTACCTGAATGAGTATTTCCAAGACTAAATGAGTAAAGAGGCAGCTATCGGTCACAAGCCCTTTCAAGGTGCTGTGGATCCAGGGCTTTGTATGACTCTTAACAGGGCAGCTTGTATAGGGGCTCCTTCCCCAGCACCATTAGGCTCAGACTCTGGATGTGCTCCTATGTGGAATGACTCTGGGATGATCTAGTGCAGTGATTCTCAGGCAGGGTTCAAACAGCTGGTGGGAGACTACAGGAGATGGGGAGAGAATCTGTAGACAAGGAGAGGACCAGCTGGTCATGCTGTGAATATCTGAAGGCTTCAATGACCGGAAATTATCTCATGACTTTGGGGAGATGCACCAAAGCTCACCTGATTTGTGCTAACAAGGAATGTAGTGAGCATCTTCCTTGCCTTTTCATTTTGCTAATTGCTTCAGGGAAGGTTCCAGGTCCTACAACTTCCCAGTCTCTTGATTTTTATGTTGCCAAGAAAGCTTCATAGAGAATGGCTCGAGCGCTGCTGCGTCAGCTCTTGGGGACCAGGATTAGAAGGAAGCTCCGGCTGATAGGATGTCTGTGTTAGCAAGCATGGTGGGGTTGCTATCCAGCCTCACCGCTTTCTCTAGTATTCAAAGTTGGAACAATGTTTAATTGAAGTTGTGGGGAGGGAGGGGTCAGTGACAGGTGGAACAAGACTGGATCTTTGAGTTTACTCTCCCTGGTTTGGTAGATCACCTGTGATCCAGTGGTAGTCATAACTGTATGATTCTTTTGTTTTGGCCAGAATGTATTTCCTGGCATATTCTAGGCAGAACGGGAGAGAGGTCCTTGTCCTGAGGAGTTTGTTTTGTGGGCCAGATCCACTGCTATAGGAGTGCCCTGATGTCAGCAGGGCACAACAGGGAAGAGCAGCTGGTTGTCCCTACACCATGCTCATTTTTTTTTTTTTTTTTCAGGGGTGCAGGTTGTAGCCGTGTTGGTCTAAGGACATAGGCAGGCAAGGTTCTTTGGGTAAATCGTTTATCTTTTATTAGACCAACTAAAATAGTTGGAAAAAGTTGTCTTTGCAAGCTTTCAGGTTAAAACACCCTTTGTCAGGCTGAGGAAGCGTCAGCTGTTGGTCTGCTCTTCCTGGATGGAGTAGAAATGCTTACTTTTCACGCCCACCTTGCCTTGACCTTTGCAAGGTACAGCTTATTGGACTGTCCAAATCTGTGAAAGGGAGTTAATTTGCGAACAATAGTCAGTCCTCTCCAAATGCGCCGTGCCCATCACAAATAACACATGGCCCCAAATTTGGAAAAGATTCATCCTTTGTGGCTGCTTCTGAGCCTCCTTGTCCTCAGAGCTGAGTGACCCCTCCAGGACACGAGGTATCTAGCTGATGTCCTGCAGCTGTGAGCAAGGAGCTCAGCATTGTCAACCATTTGAGTTGGTCTAATAAAAGATAGCAGATTTACCCAAAGAACCTTGTTTACCTATGTCCTCAGACAAACATGGCTACAACCTATACCCCTGTAGCATTATCAACGGGCAGATACTTGCTCTAAAACCCTTTTGTGTTAACAAAAGAGGGACTAAATCCCTTGAATCTCCCCGAGGACCTCACCCTCTCCAAAGGCCAGTTCTGCAAGGAGAGTTTCCTCCAGGACTGTCCCTGCACTGAGCTGTTTCATATATAGTTTGTTTTATGGCAAAGACTGTCTGTGTCCACAGGAACATTTCAGCATGATGAGACTTTTTCTTTTGGTTTCAAACACATGTCTGTAGAGCATGTGATTGCAGTGCAGGTGTGCATGCCCATGCTATCGGTTGAGTTTAGCTACCTGGGGCAGCAATAGCAGTGAAGAAGCATCAGCCCATGCTAGAATCCCCAGGGTCCCAGGAGGGTTGCATAGCTCACATGAAAGCTCTTCTCCACTGCTGCTGTGCCGCTAGCTCTTATGCTGGTCTGCGCTGCTATCCCACTTTTGTTTTGCGGTGTAGACAGACCCCGAGTGTGGCTGATCTTTTTCAGTGCTTTGGGTTTTAAGTTGGGCACTCGCTCTCCATCCCTCTTGACCTCTTTGTTATTGTCAGGGGAATAAGTCTCTCTTTCCCCCTAAGCATCCTGCAAATGTCTGTTTCTAGCTTGTTTTTCACATCCTGTAAACCTGCTCTTCCCTCCGAGAAGGGAACGGAAGTGTAGCTGCCTTGCTCTGAATGTGAGTGATACTTACCTGCCTTAAGGGATGGGGTGGGATTGTGAGGATTAAAAGATTAATTAGTGTTTGTAAAGCGTTTCAACCGTGTGAGACTTCCACAAGTGCTAAGTATTATTTTTATTATCGGAGCCACTTTGCTCACTGGAAGAATCCCCAGCTGTTGCTGTCTTTACTCCAGTGGGAAATGGCTGTTTAAATACCTCTAATCCCCAGAATCCTTTGTTTTGCCCTAGGAGGGGGGCTAGCTCTGTACATACTCCAGAGGTCCCTGTGCTTCTGATCGGGGTAGGTGAAGGCATGCCCCTCTTAGGCAATTCCTTGTTCCTCTTTGTAGTGTGGCCACGTGGCAGGACTGGGTCTTGAAAGCTCTGGGGTCTGTTCCCAGCTCTGCCACTGGTCTGCTGGGTGCCCAGGCAAACATGTAGCTTTCCTATGCCTTGGTTTCTGTATCTCTGAAATGGGGGTAATAATACTGACCCTTCCCCCCCCTTCCCCCACAAGGTGCTTTGAGACCCACGGGTGGAGAGGGAGAAATCAGAATGAGGTAGCTTTATTGTCAGTTCTCTAACCCATTTCCCCCAAATGCTTTCCCCTGCTTTCCTTACGCATGGCTCCACCTGACTTCACCCATACTGTGGAGCAACACTCATCTGTTGCCTATTAACTCTCTGAATTTGACATCTTTGGGACCCTCAGCCAGTCTGTCAGGAGAGTTTGGCCTTCCCCAAGCTCCGTTCAGTTGAAGCCAAGAACTCCACGTATATGAGACCCCTGCTCCCAAAGGTGAGGCAGACGCAGGAGGTCCTGGGCTGGAGCTTGGGAGATGAAGACCAAGGAGTGGGTGCAGGGAACATGCTGGATCATCTTTGTTTTCTTTCTTTGTGTGCGTAATTCAGTTGGAAGGGCCCAAACGTGTCCGAGTCAACCTCAAGCTCTTATCCCGTGTGATTCTCTTTGTTGTTGCCTGTACTGGTGTCCTTGATACTGAATATTTCCGATGTGGAGGAAAAGCAGAGCCACTTTGAGGCATCGGCCTCTGGGGATTCAAAGCTGCTCTGTCCACAGAGGTCAGTCTTGCCGTGTA